GTTAAATATTGTTCTTTTTGGACAATTTTTAATTGTTATTTGATTGAAACAATGTTTGAAAATGAAAGTAAATTTATTTCAAGCACATTTCAACACAACACTTCAAGCACTTTTCAAAATTTAAACCACTTTTAAAATTTCTGGTCTTTATAAATTACATTTTTTAAAGACGATAATATTTTAATTGTTGAAATTACAACATTTTTTAAAATGTCATAATTACAACAACAATGTATTTTGAATTGTATTGAATAATTTACTATACATTACAAATATGTTTAACAATTCACATTAGTTTCTGAAAAGGCAAGAAGTTCATAAAAAATGAATTATACAACAATTAATTTAATGTTAGTTGATATATTAATTCGTTTTTAAGATTTTTTTAAAACATTTTGTAACTATAAAAACAATTAATTTTTCATTAAATATTATAATATGTTATTTTTAATAAATTAATAATGACAAAAACTATACATTTATATTTATAACAAATTCTATTAAATGATATTTTTTATAATTAAATTAACTAGAACCGAATTAAGTGAAGAATTAAAAAAGAGAACTAGAACTGCTTAAAATCAAGCAATATGGAAAAGGGGAACAAAAAAGGAGACGTAGACGATTACAGTGTGATGGAGAAGGACATCTACATTGAGAAGGTGATTCTCTTTCAGCAGCGGGATTGTTGTTCGAAGACTCATATCAACGTTCCGATGTGCAAAAAGTTTCTTACGCGCATTGTAGCTGCGATGAACAAAGGCGACATTTTCAATGAAGAAGAGTCCACTGAAATTTTCTTTGCATTGACCAAACTGTTTACCTCACAAGACTTAACATTACGAAGACTGTTGTATGTTGTATTAGATGATATGGTTCCTTTAACTTCGAACTCTTTCATTATAGTTAATTCAGTGAGTAAAGACTTAAGTGACAAGATCTCATCATTCCGATGCAGCTCATTAAGATGTTTGAGTCGACTGATGACACCACAAATTGCACCGTCCATTGA